TAATAATAATAATAATAATAATAATAATAAAAAGGTATCCAGAGTCAGTCGGTGGGTTCTCAGTCGGTTGGTTCTCAATCAGATAAGCAAGTCAGATGGTCCGCGGTCAGGCAAGCAGGTCGGATTATCCGCAGTCGGATAAATGGGTCGGTTGATACAAAGGTTGGCTGCTATGGGGGTCGGTCGAAAAAGGAAGTCGGGCGAAGAAAGGTCTGTTGATAGGTCAGACGATTGAAGAGACCAAATAGTGGTCGTTTGATGGGGCGACCAGTGAGTCTTTTGATCTGGCGACCAATTATGTATCTAGATTGGTCGGTTGGTCGGTCGTTGGGTTATGCGGTTGGCGAGGCGGTTAAAGACATGTGTCAATGAAAGAGGCAGTTCTGAGTTCTGTAACTGGTGGGAACGGTTGGTGAAACAGTGCGGCGGTTCTGAACGTTTTCTTCAAAGAATATTTAAGGATTTGGATCATCATTTGGCAAGGCATCTTCAATCAACTTCAACAAAGCAAAGTCAGATTTGGGGATCACCACTTTAAATTTCAGTCTTTTATTTTCCAGTTTATTTTCTGTACCATACAGTGTTTAGAGATTCCTAATCTCAGGCACTAATTAATCAAGTTTAAGGATATTTTCTATATCTTTAAATTTTACTTTATTTTTGTTGAAAAATTACATCAACACCTATAAAGCAATAAAAAAAACTGTAAAACAAAATAAATCAAAAAATTAAAAAAAACTGTAAAACAAAATAAATCAAAAAATTACAAAAATTTATGAATCATATATTAGACACTGATCTCAAATATCTACCATAGAGAAGATATAGACTATTATAATAATAATAATAATAATAATAATAATGACGATGGAGAAACCCAACTCAAATAGTATGTTTTCGGACCACAACCTCCTTAGGCCACCCACACGGGGTTGGCGGTCGTCAGCAATTTAAAAATAACAATAATATAAATAAATAAATAAATAAAAGGGGAAGGACCGCATCCTGTATGGGAGCGGTCCTCAGCAGCAGGTCCTTCCAGCCAAGTAAGCATTATGATTATGATTATTATTATTATTATTATTATTATATCAATATTTATATTAAATATTTAAGAGTTAATTTTTTAAAAAAATTATGTTTGTGCACTATATTATTTTTTAAAAATTATAATAGAATTTAAATAAATTATTTTTGTATTATTTTTTTAATGAATACTTTTGTAGAATATTTTATTTGATATCTATTAATTTAATTACGCCATTCGTTGGCTATGGTATCTATTTTACGGTAGGTAAGAGAATTCAAAAGAAGTATAATTAGTAAATAATTAAGTATATATTAATAAAAATAATTATAAATTAAGATTAAAATTACTAATTAATTTAATTTAAATTTTAAAAAATTATAAATTAAAATTTTTTAAATGAGATTGAGATTAAAATATAGAATATAATTTTTTTTCCAACAAAGGAAAGTGACAAAATTAGTTGGACAAATAAAAATGAAAAAATGGACACTATAACTAAGATAAAGGGAGTATAATTCTTGTTTAACTATGTGATTTAATTAAGATTACAAACACAATACAAATAATGATTGAAATACATTAAAATATTTATAAATTTAAATAGATACCTACATAACTTAATTAAATTAGACACAATGCAGATAATAATTAAAAATACATAAAATATTAATGATTTAAATACAAACCTACCGAAAACATATGTGTGCCCACCTTTGTTTCAACCTTTGTAATTTTCGCTTGCTCCGAATTAAATTCTAATTGTCTAGCTCCCCTTTCATTCTTTCTTGTCATTTTGTCCAATCTTTTAACTTTCAGAAGTGCTTTTATCTTTTCAAATTGTTGCTTCAAACTTTGTTCTCATACTGTCACCATATGCTCCATATTTTAGCTAAATTCAGTACTTTTTTCATAAAATTTTACATAGTTTTCAGTATGGTTTGAATTGAAACACTCATTTAGCACTTGTTTCCCCTTCTCCTTACTTAGCTTTTGTACCAGGTGAATAAATGGGAGGAGTTGGGTTATTCCCGTCAAAGCATGGTATTGTTGGACACAAACCAGAGTAACCACTGTCTTTAGTTATTTTTTTAAGCTTTGAACTTCCACCAATATTATGAAATGATTCACAGTAACTGGTTATCTATTTAGACTCGTTTATGAGTATACGCTAAGCATCTGCATGAAAAAAGTCTTTGTTTTTTTTGTCAGTTGAATATATCTCCTTTGGTGCATTGAAGACATCCGTGGTTGATTGCCCACTGCGTATGTTTCGGGTAGCCTTCTAATAACACCCAACAAAATTTTGCACGCACTTACATATCTTACCTGCAACAATTTTTATATTGAATAAAAGTTTTGGTCGTTGTAGTTTCACGCTTGTTCTCCATGTAATATGATGCAATTATTTCCAGAAAGCATTACTTGCGTTACTTGGTTGGTCATTGTTGGTTACGGCATCTTTACTAGTGTTCAGTATGCACTAATCAAAAGTTGGTCTTCGATCCAGCTCCATAACTTCCTCGTATAATTGCTTTTTGTGTTGTCATGCACACTGTCATATGCTAAATTAATAGGTGTATTACATTGAGGGACATCCACTATTTATGTGGCTTGCATTACAAATGGATGAGATTATGAACTTCCGAATGCTGATAGAAGTTTGAAGGAATTTAATAATATGGTGAATGATTGAATTGTTGAACATGAGGATTAGATATGGGGAACATAGGTTGATTTTCTAACATGTTCCCAAAATTAGGAAACTGAAAAGGATTTTGAGGATTTTAAGAGTTGGATGAATTTTGAGAGTTCGGATCCATTAGTATGTATAAGCGTAGAAATTCTGAAATTTAAAAGCAACTATAGAGATAAGGAAATATAAAGATGATGTGGGAGAAATGAAGTGAGCATGTGGTGTGCTTATAATAAACATTGCAATAACTATATTCCCCAACGAGTATATTCTTCAACGGTTATATTCCCTAAAAGCTATATTCCTCAACGACTATATTCTCCAAGAACTATATTATCTAACGGTAATATTTAACGGTTATATTCTCCAAGAGCTATATTATCTAACGGTTATATATTTTTCAACGGATATATTCCCTAACGACTATATTCTCCATCGGCTAATTAATTTATTTGAAAAATATATTGTAATATTATATATTTTTTATTAATTTTTAAATTTTATATTTTAATTATCATGTAAGTGTGATGCACAAAATATTTTTAAAATTATTTCATTAATAAAAAATTATAGTTTTATTTTTATTAAATATTACAAGAATAAAATATGATAAAAAAATATAAAATTCTTTTTTAAATATATAAAATATTTAATCGTATGGAAAAAAATTAGAGACTTTCAGGATTATTTGACGTGTAAAATTTAATTGGTATGAGTGCCCTTATTAATAGTGTCATCTCTCGGACGTTGACGTGCACTGTGAGGGGAAGAGAATGAATGGTTCATCCAAGCGAAAGGACGTTCGTGCATCAAAAACGCTCCCAAATTAAAAGGCCAATATGTCTCGCCCACCCACTTTTATCAATAACCATTTACTTGGAGAACTTGCACATGCCCTTCATATATATTGTCTCTCTACTATAATAAAATAAAATAAAAATAAGATACTCATATTTATTTATCTATTTTATTATATATATATATATATATATATGAGTCAGCCCATCCTGATTTTTGACTTGCCCATCCAAATAGGCCATATACCCATAATCCACTTCCCCTACGTGTCATAACCCAATTTTAAATTCTTTTTTATTATTCACTCCATCCACAAATTAACTTCCTACTTTTCTATTTGGAATGTCCAGTAATTATTGTCCTCTTTCTATTTTTATATACAAAATTTACTTTCTTACCCCTACTTTATTTATTCTTTCATTTTCTATACATAAGAGCAAATTTGTCATTTTATAACAAAAATCCTAATTGCCTAAAAATACGTGTTGATATCAAATAAGACATTAGAAAATGGACAGAGGGAGTACAAATTATTACTTCATGCACATAAAATTTGTTTTTTTTTTTTTTGCTAAATTATACAAAATACATCTATGTTTTTATTCAAATCCCCGTACTTTTAAAATCGTGTCAAATTCTCTCGTGATTTCATAAACTATGCGTCTAACCCCCTCGACAGTTCTTATTTAACAATATTTGACATAAATATGTCCAAATTGTGAATAAATTTTATAATCTCAGTTTTTAAATCCTTATAGTAAAAATAAAATCTTAAAACCTGATAAAATAACTAATTTTGAATATATTTACTATTTTTTAGGCTAAATAAGAAAAAAATAATATATTTGTACTTTTTAGGGATTTAGAAAATGAGATTCTAAAATTTATTCGCAGTTTCGGCGCATTTAGATCCAATACCGTTAAAAAAAAATCGTCAAGAGGTTACACATATAGTTTATGAAACCATGAAAAGTTTGAGGAATTTTGAAAGTATAATGAATTTGACACAATTTAATGAAATAACATGTAGTTGTGTTTGGTTGTGTGAGGTCGAATACTTGAAAAAAAAAAAAGTATATTTAAAAAGTGTTTAAAAATTTTCTATTAATTAATTTGTACCATTCCGAGTAAAATATATAATTTTTTTTTCTAACACAATATCACATTATTATTTATTTAAAATTAAATTTAAATTCTTATTTCCAAATACAATTATTGCATATTGTGCTTGGTCATTTCATATGGACCTTTGAAATAATCAAAAAGGCAAAAAAAAAAAAAAAATTAAAAATGAAGTAAGCTGTTCCCACGTATCATCTTCCACACAATTGTTGACTTTTCCCATTCCGTTAGTTAATATAGTAATAATTATTATTGCAATGAATTTGACTTCATTCCAAAATAGAAAATATTAATAATAATTTTAATTCAGCATTATCTGAATTATGGATTCGGGCAAGGTAACCACGGTTAATAGCTAACTCTGGTTAGTCTCATGCTATAAAAGAGCAGGATTATTACAGAAACTTAGAACACGCATACCGGAATTGTATTGCAGAACATCTTAAGGTTTGATCTCATGTCACTCAATTCTCCGATCATCGCATGTTTATGTATAGTTCTAGATCGATCTTCATAGTGCTCGATTTATAAATGTCTGTTTAATTCCTGTTATTGTAATGGATTTTTGTCTCATCAATGTTGTTAATTGAGATCAGATTTAACAGAAAAACCCCAATTGATGTTTATGGATGTGTAAGTTTTTGGTTGGAAGATTTTTTCACTATCTGCTGAGCCTGAGTATGTATTTAGCAGTGTGAATAAAAGAATGTGTTGATTTTGGTAACTTTTGGGGATGCGTATAACTGCAATCGTGTACTATTTTTGCAGAAAGGGGAAAATGGCGAAGGACGCTTATGATGAAGCCATTGCAGGCCTTCAGAAGCTTCTCAGGTGCTCAATTATGTCTGCCATAAATTAATTTTACCAATTTCATCTTCCTCGAACTTATCGCCATTGATTTCATTTTATGGATAATCTAATTATTTAAAGCTTCTCAGTAACTTTTCCCAGTTTCTTCCACCGTCTTCTTCCTCGTAATAATCAGGCAAATTAAATTATCATCGATTGATCCGATTTTAGAACAGTAACGTCAATAATTTGTCTCTAACACGATTCAGCGAAAAGGATGAACTGAAGGAGGCGGCGGCGGCTAAGGTGAAGCAATTGACGGCGGATTTGGCCGGCAAGGCGGAGGCGGCGGCGGCTAAGGTGAAGGAATTAGCGGGCGGAGCCGTCAAGCCCGCCGCTGAAATATCCGACCCGGTTGAGAGGATCCGATCCGGATTCGAGTATTTCAAGAAAAACAAATACGAGTAAGTTAAAAGTAGTTAGCTAATAATGGGAATCGCTAGGAAATAATATTCGTAAAGAGTTGGAACCTTCTTCGACAGTGGAGAAGTGCTGGATTCTTGGAGGTGCCCGTAATATTCTCATCGGAAAACCAAATTACCAAAATGACCCTGTGTCAGCCAATAATTGCTGTCTGCTTTAGTTTGTGCCATGGTTATGATATGGTCTTTTGATTTAGATGGAACACTTTGTTATTTAAATGTCTGTGGATTGCATTGAATTGGGTCCTACTGAAATTATAGCCACCTGTGTGTACTTCCACTATATACTACTGGCTCTTTATGATTAATCTTTGCAATGGTAAGAAGATATATGTGTAAATATTACGTAAAATAAAGACTGAAAAATGTGAATTCGTGGCACACAGGAAGGATACAGAGCTCTATGGAAAGCTCGCAAAAGGACAAAGCCCAAAGGTAACAAACATGCAATGGAATAATTGGCATATTATTGCGTTGGCAGTGATTGAAGTTAGTTATTTGTCTGAAATTTACAGTTTTTGGTGTTTGCATGCTCTGATTCCCGAGTATGCCCTTCCCATGTTCTCAACTTCCAACCAGGGGAGGCGTTTGTGGTTAGAGATATTGCCAGCATGGTTCCACCCTTTGACAAGGTATCATTCATCAAATAAATAATGGGTTATTAATTAATTAATTCACATCTCACTTTCATTTTCATTTTGGGGTCTGTGTCTGAACAGTTCTGACAGTTTTGACTTTAATTTTTATATATTGGTAGACCAAGTATTCGGAAGCAGGGGCGGCCATTGAATATGCAGTACTGCATCTGAAGGTGATTATTCTATTTTCCTCGATTAAATAACAATTTTTTTTTGAATCATGTGTTCTTGATGTATAGCAATAATCACTGTGGTAGGTGGAGAATATACTTGTTATTGGACACAGTTGCTGTGGAGGCATAAAGGGCCTGATTTCCATTCCTGATGACGGCAGCTTTTCAAGGTTTGCTCTATTCTTCATTTCTTTTTAAGATTGGATCTTATTTAGATTCAAAAAAAAAAAAAAAAAAAAAAAAAAAACACTTTTCTAATTCCTCAAACAAACAGTGATTTCATAGAAGATTGGGTGAGCATTTGCAAGTCTGCAAAGGACAAGGTGAAAAGTGAGCACAGTCATTTAGACATAGGTGAACAGTGCAACTACCTCGAAAAGGTATATATTAGCTTTTCTTTTTTTCCCCCTCGAGATATGTTTATTTATTTATAATCAATTTAATTTTATGGCTGAACCTGAACAGGAGGCTGTGAATATATCTCTGGAGCACTTGTTGAGTTACCCATTTGTGAAGCAAGCAGTGGACAGTAAAAAATTGGCATTGAGGGGTGGGCACTATGATTTTGTAAAAGGTTGTTTCCAGCTTTGGGATTTGGACTCCAAAGATTCTCCAATCACAATATGAGGTACGTACATATGTTAAATGTGGTTGTAAATTGGCTTAATCCAAGCTACATACCAATTTGTTGTTGGGAATAAGGTATTGTCACTTGTTTTGGATCATGTAAACTTTTTATTCTGAGTGTTTGATTTTTATGTTCTGTGTTAATTCCGGATTACTTGGTTTGGATGATCTGAAGTTGTTATAAATTATGATCTATATTAAACCCACTTTAATTCAATTTGGGACTCGACATAATATTTTCAATCAATTCAATATTTATGACCAATTCCAGAAGCTGACTTTGGTTATAAGCATATCGTGTGTATATATGTGTGAATGTTTTTGTGGCGTGCGTGTTAAGGAACAAGTGTCAAGTTAATGCATGTAATGGTATTCACGGGAATGTAGACACTTATTATATGTTTAAACTATTATAAATAGACATTTTTTTATATATGTGTATATAATAATATGGCTGTGAACAGCACTACGCTGATAGAATTCTGATTGTGTATAGCTGTGGATGAAAATCGGATGGTTTAAATTGAAGATGGATATGATTGTTTTTTCGAGTTTAATAAGTTACAAGGTCCAACATTTTCTGTCGATCAGGGTAAAATTGTTCCCTCGTCATCTTCTGTAAATCGTCTTCTTCAACCATTTGTTGTCTTCTTCAAATCGATGAGGCCGAGCGTGTTTGTGAACGCATCATTCAATCACTCTTGGTGTTTAGTTTACCCTAAGTTTTTCTCCCCACATTCTAAACAATTTATGCAGAATATTCATATTGTTGGTTAGTACAGTAACATGCTAAACAGAGTACATTAATAAAATATTTGGTTCAATATATGTAAATGCTTTTTTTTTTTATGTTTATTTTAATTAATTTTGGTGGAAAGCCCGTTTGGAATATATTTTTTGTAGCAATTTTTGGATAACCAATTAATAATGTTTGATAGTACAATAACATGTTAAATACAGTATAAAGAAGATGTTTGTTGATATTAAATAAATGTTTGGTTCAATATATGTAAATGTTTATTCATTCTTTTATGTTTGTTTTAATAAATTTTGGTGGAAAGTACGTTTAGAGTGCTTTTTTTATAACAATTTATGGATAACACTCATAATGTTTGATAGTATAGCAGTAAATAAATTGGCGAAAAAATCACTCTCCTTGCTGGTATCTTTTTATGTTTCTTTTGTCTCCCAGAGTTGTTATTTATAAAAGATGAAATACTGACTCATATAAGAGGAAAAGACGACTACATGTAGAGAAAAGTGTTATAAATTTACTTAGTGGCTTGTAGTTTTTTTTTCTTTTTTTATAACGCATGAATCTGCAGTCGCTACCCGAAAGTACGCCCTGGATAAATCCACGGCCGAACTTAATACCCAGTGGCTTGTAGTTCTTACTTGTTTGGTATGTGGTATCAAACATAATAGAATTCTCAAACAATGACTAGTTCTTCCCTCATTTGGGCATTTACCAAAATATATTAACAATCTTATCTTCAAAATTCACTTCAATTTCATAAAAGAAAAAAGGATAATCAATTGATCTTTGGTTGAAGTATTGCAATAATATATTTGTTTCGATCTCTTTGAAAATTTCTCTCTTTTTTCTTTATGTGATTTTTTTAGTCCAACTTCAGAAATCTCACATTCTTCTTTCCTCCAGAGGATATTTTTATCAAATTATACGATGATCTAATCGGTAGTCCAGCTTCTTAATTTGTATTTGCAATGACTAAGCGTGATTCATCAATGTTACGGTCGGATACAAGCATGTGTTTATGTTTTGTAGGATCTCGTCTCATGGTTACAATGCATTGTCTTGATCTTTCCTAATTTTCTGTATTCTTTTGATGAATCTTAGGATGATCTTGTTTTATATTGCTATCTTTTTTTAATCTCATTTTGTTGCAATAATATTTCATGTATTGTATCTGATATGGATCTTTTTTAAGTTTTTATGTATTATAATTCTAACTGAAAAGCCTCTATTGTGTGCATACTCATAATAGAAATTGTATGCATTTTCTAATTTTGTAAATTTCACTGCATGCAAATCTACGAAGTCTAGATATATTAGATGTTCAAATATGTCAAACAATATACAGTACGTTTTATTATAATTTTTTTTTTCATAAATAGAAAATTGTGGAGTTTTGTATTCAAACTCATCAAATGTCGTATTGTATAAAATAATATGGATGCTTCATCATTGATACATAAATGTTGAAGTGAACTAACCGAGATGTTAGCTTATTTTAATTGACAGTAATTTCAATGTTTTAATTCAAATATGATTGTTAATACATATTTATCAAACTCTTAAAACACCAGACGAGATTTTAATAGTTTCGTTAATATCTAAATCTTGAAAAACTATAAAAACAATTAGATTGACATAATTTCATAAATTATTATCAAAATTTGACTAAAGATGCAATAATCCAATATAATAAATTGAATCCAGTAAATGCAATCTAATAAATCGCGTAGAGTATTGACAACTTCAAATCAATTGTCCAGATGTAACTTATTTGATAGAGTGATTACCACCGCATCCGTTATTGGTGAAGGTGTTGAAGTATTTGAAACTGTAATTACGATGTCTTTGTTGCTTCTTGAGCGATTTATAGCTTCTTGAGTGATTTGTTTCTTCTTGAACGATTGATTGGGGTTAAAATAATGGAAAATTGATTTTTCTCGTCTCCATCGATCTCGTCGATTAATTATTTTTGGAAGATTCTGAGTTATTTTTCTACGTAATGGTTAAGAGAAGGATAAAGAATGGTGGAGGATAAGACGGTTATATAAATTAGGAAAATTGAAAAATTACTATTAAACTCATAAATTAGTACAAGCTATTAGATCAAAAATTGGAATCCAATGGATAATATCTAATCAGCATAATGCTGGATTTCAATTATTATCATGTAATCATAGCGGATATTAATATATAATAACCCTTCCCTCCATCAATTAATATAATATTATATTTATTGAAAATAAATAAATAATGGCATAACAGAGTACAGTAGATGTAACACCCCCAGTTGGCTCATACTGGAAATGCTACCGCCACACTGCATCATGAGGTCGTCACCTCCTACTTCGGGCCCCACAACACAGTGTTAAGGCTAAAATTAATTATATAAGCATTTTATTATTCCCAAAAAAAACAAGTTTATAAATATTTACAAAAACATACTCCCAAAACGGGAGGTTTTTCTAGTTAGAATTTACATATAATACATCAGATGCAGTTCACTCATTCAGCCCGTCTTTCTATCTCCCGAGACGTCCCCTGTCCCGGAGGTGCCATGCGTACCTGAATCAAATATTTTTCTTAAAAGCAGTCTAGAATTAAATCCATTTTAAGAACTAACATAAAATATGCCATGTCATGCTCGAAAATAGAGTTTAATTTCCGTCATTTGCAAAATAAATGCCATGCCATGCCCATACTGAAATAATGTAACAATAATGTCAAAATCGACAACTCATGCACATATACCCATATACATATGTCAAAGTGAGCAGCCGGAATAACCTCGGCTCCATAATAACAGCTCACTAGACTATCATCAATAAATAGCCGGAAAATCCTCGGCTCAAGGAAGGACCTGGTAAACCCATAATAATATAACGGTCACCCGGTCACTCCCATATACCCACCATACGACTCCCGCAATCAATACATGGATAGTCGAACGTTGTCGCCATTAACCACAAGACACCCCATAGTCTGTGATAGCGAAGATAGGACCCTCCTGTCTAGCCCTACCCCGTGTAACGTAGTAGAATCCGTGCAACCTGGAATCACCCGAAGGAAACCCGGAAACTCTACTCCTCCTCGCACGCCCTAACGGGATCGCGTTTGGAGTTTGGCATCTGATCCTAAACTACCGGTAGACCTCACTAGTAGCTACTCCAATGAGTGGAACAACACCGAACCCGAATGATTAGACCAAATACGTCTCAACTGCAATGGGTCTAATCCCTGAATGACCGTGCGACTAAGTCACCCAGTTGTCCGACTACTATCGTCCACTATCGCCAAAGTGTTACGGTACATCGGGGTCGAATATCCTAACCCCAGATGATGCCCTCGCCTAGCACTACCGCACACGGCGACTAAACGATAGATCCATAAAACATATCCGATAAATCGTGCAATGTGTGCAGCATGTCAATAAGTGAATTTAATGAAAAGGGCTGGTGAGACGGCCCACCTATCCTCCTTTTTATAAATTCACCAACACGATCAAATACGTATATCAAATATCGTAAAACGAAGTTTCACACATGCATATACACACACATATATACATATATAGATGCACTGACCAAATGATTCCACATAATATCATATCAATATCAGAATCAGAATCACATGCAATATAAATACCTAATTTCTTAAAATTAGATTTAATTCCCTACTGCTTACCTCCTACCGATACTTTCTGGATTTTATAACTTCACCCAAATCTCCTCCAACGTACACCTGTCCCATTATTTACTCAAATCAGATGAGCTTTATGCTTATTCTCAGGAGCTACCTGCTTATTCAAAAGCTAATTTCTATAATTAACTCGTCGGGCTCCAAACTTTTATATTTAGTAGAATATGATATTCTAGCTATAAAATCCTTCTACCTCATAATATTTATATTGCCCGATTATTAAATAAAAATACGCAAAGGTATGAACAAGCAGGCAGGTGCGATATACTGCCGTTTTTTTATTCGACTTGGATTGGTACGAAATTCTCAAAATATAATGTCGGCGCTACGAATAGGCTATTAGCTAAAGAAATTCATCGATTAAATAGCTAAATAGCCAATTTTGAATTTTTGAAGAATTTCTAATTTAATACTCCAATATCAAAATTCGTATTAAAATTTATAATCGGACTCTACGAATAGCAAGGAATACCATACCCAATTCGGAATTGGAATCGGACGGCTAAATCTTTTTCTTTTTTTTTTTTTTTTTTTTTTTTCTTTCTCCTTCTTCTTCCTCCCTTCCTTCTCCTCCTTTGGTTCGTTGCTGCTGCTGCGTTGGATTCTTTCTTTCTTTTCATATTATATATATATATATTATATTATTATTATTATTAAACGTAATATATTATTATTATTATTAAACATTATATATTATTATTATATTATTATTGTTATTAACGATGATGATAAGGTTCTTATCATCATCTACTATATTATTATTATATATATATTATATTATATATTATATATTATATTTATATTTATATTTATTTTTAATTTCATCGATATTTATCCATTTAACAGTCTATTTAATTATAACTAATATACAAAATTGAAATATAATTTATCCCAAAATATTAGTTTCTTGATTCCATTACTATTGTCAAATATTTATTTGCTATAATAATATTATATTATACATTCCGAAATCGGGGCATTACAATCCACTCCCCCTTAAAAAGATTTCGTCCCCGAAATCTAAACTCAATCACATAACAAGACAACTTAATTAAACAATTGTGGGTATGCTTTGAACATTTCTTGTTCTACTTCCCACGTGGCCTCTTCCGCTCCATGTCTGGACCACATTACTTTCACCATACGAATATCTCGATTCCTCATGGTTCGGACCTTTGTGTCCATGATCCACAGAGGCTTTTCTTCATACGAAAGATCTTCATTCAGCTCTATCTCATCTGGAGATAAAATATGAGAAGGATCTGCAACATACCTACGAAGCTGAGATATATGAAACACATTATGGATACGCTCCATAGAATTTGGAAGTGCCAACCGATAGGCCCAATCACCAACTCGATCGACAATTTCATAAGGTCCAACATAACGCGGACTCAATTTTCCTTTAATCCCAAACCTTCTAATACCTTTCATTGGGGATACTTTCAATAAGACAAAATCTCCACTTTGAAATTGACCCTCACGTCGGGCTCTATCGGCATAACTCTTTTGACGATCTTGAGCTGCCTTCATCTTTTCTCTGATAATTCGAATCTTATTTTTCGATTCCTCAATCATTTCCGGACCCAGTATCAGTCGATCACTCATATCGTCCCAACTCAAAGGAGTTCTGCATTTTCGACCATAAAGAGCTTCAAAAGGAGCCATTCCGATACTTGCTTGATGGCTATTATTATATGAAAATTCCACTAAATCCAAGTGGTCTTCCCAACTCCCTTGAAATTCCATAGCACAAGCTCTTAGCATATCTTCCAGAATACGGATAGTTCTTTCTGACTGACCATCAGTCATAGGATGGAATGCAGTACTCATATGCAACTGAGTACCAAAGGCTTCCTGCAATTTTTGCCAAAATCGAGATTGAAAACGTGGATCACGATCTGATATGATCACCTCAGGAATACCGTGTCGTTTAACCACATAATGAACATATAATTTGGCCAATTTCTGCATACTCCAAGTCATACGTACTGGAATGAACACTGCTGACTTGGTCAATCTGTCTATAATTACCCAAATTGCATCTGTTCCCGACTTTGACCTTGGAAGTCCTGTTACAAAATCCATTGCGATAGAATCCCATTTCCAGAGTGGAACTTCTAAAGGTTGTAGCAACCCCATTGGTCTATGATGTTCTGCTTTTACCTTTTGACAATTTAAACATCGTGCAACAAATTTGGCTACATCCTTCTTCATGCCCTTCCACCAAAAATGTTGACGTAGGTCATGATACATTTTATTTCCCCCCGGATGCACTGAGTATGGTGTATTATGAGCCTCACTCATAATCTGCTCTTTCAAATCATTTCGATCCTTTGGGATACACCACCTCCCGTGAAATCGAAGACTCCCATCTGGAGCAATATTAAAATTTTGAGTCTGACCGTACTGAACTTTCACTGCAAGCTCAACCATTTTATTATCTTCCATTTGAGCCGCTCTAATGCGATCATAAATTTCAGGCTCAACTTGTATCATTTGCAAATATCCCCGAGTCATACCCCGTCCAAGTACCTCAATTTCCATCCGCGCTAAATCTTGGCACAGTTCATCAGCAACCGACATGAAGCCCAAGTTATGCCTTGGTTTTCGACTTAAGGCATCGGCTACAACATTTGCTTTGCCTTCATGATACACAATTTCAAGATCATAATCCTTCACCAATTCTAACCATCTTCTTTGTCTTAAATTCAATTCTTTTTGGGTGAAGATATATTTCAAACTTTGATGGTCAGTAAATATTCTGCAATGGGCTCCATAAAGATAGTGTCTCCAAATCTTCAAAGCAAACACCACTGCTGCCATTTCCAAGTCGTGTGTCGGATAATTCTCTTCGTGAGGTTTTAGTTGTCGTGATGCATAAGCAATAACTCTTTGATTCTGCATTAAGACACATCCCAATCCCTGCTTCGAAGCATCACTATACACTTCAAACTCCTCACCTTCCACTGGTAAAGCCAAAATTGGCGCTGAAGTTAATCGATGTTTCAATTCTAAAAAGGATGACTCACACTCGTGATCCCAGTTAATCTTTGCATCCTTTTTCAGCAAATTAGTTAATGGTTTTGCAATCTTCGAAAAATCAAGAACGAATCGCCGATAATATCCTGCCAAACCCAAAAAGCTTCTTACTTCTGATTGATTGGTAGGTCTTGGCCAATCCAAGATTGCCGCCACTTTAGAAGGATCTACTGAGATACCCTTTCCAGAAACAACATGCCCCAAGAAAGCAACCTCCTTCAACCAAAACTCGCATTTGGATAACTTGGCATATAACTTTCTTGCACGCAATATGTTTAATATTACATGCAAATGTTTTGCATGCGTCTTTTTATCTGGGGAATAGACCAAGATATCGTCAATAAATACCACCACAAACTGATCGAGGTATGGTTGAAAAATTCTATTCATCAACTCCATAAACGCAGCCGGGGCGTTAGTCAACCCAAAGGACATAACCGTGAATTCATAATGCCCGTATCTAGTCCGAAAAGCTGTCTTCGGAATGTCATGCTCTGCAATCCTTAGCTGATGATATCCAGATCTCAAGTCAATCTTTGAGAATATAGTTGCACCTCTCAGTTGATCAAATAGATCATCAATCCTCGGAAGAGGATATTTGTTCTTCACCGTGACTTTGTTCAGTCCACGGTAGTCAATACATAACCTCAAACTTCCATCCTTCTTTTTCACAAATAAAACTGGAGCTCCCCAAGGCGATGTACTAGGCCGAATGTAACCCTTATCTAGCAATTCCTGTAGTTGCAATTTAAGTTCAGCTAGTTCTAAAGGTGCCATCCGGTATGGAGCCCTTGATACTGGCTCAGCACCCGGCACAATATCAATAGCAAAATCCACCTCACGAGCTGGTGGCATACCCGGAATGTCATCAGGAAATACATCAGGAAAATTTCGGACTACAGGAATATCTTGCAATCGCTGCTCCCCTTGCGTCAAATCTCTTACCTCACACAGATATACTGGAAACCCCTTACGAATAAATGATTGAAATGATAGGGATGAAATTACCTTCATAGAAGGTTGTCTGGCAGATCCTGCATAATTCACCTGTTCGCCCATCGCTCCAACCAGCGAAATTGATCTTTTTCGACAATCAAATTGAGCTTGATATGCCACTAACCAATCCATCCCCAATATTACATCGAACTCGGATAGCTTGATGCCCAACAAGTTAGTAACAAAATCAACCCCTTCAATACTAACCGGAATCTGCATATAAAGCTCTCGGCATTCCAACACTTCTCCTGATGGAAGTAAAACTTCCACTACCACTTCTACTGATGAATTCAGACCCAATCGTCTAACTAGACGCTTAGATATGAACGAGAACGTTGCACCCGAATCGAATAACACAAGAGCAGGAAAACCGCAAACCAGAAATCTACCCGTTAAAACCTCACCTGGATGATAATCAGCTTCTGCTTGGGTAAGAACATTTATTCGTCCACGCTGGTCAGGTCCTCTGCCTGGCTGCCTAGATGACGAACGTGACTGACTTCGTCCCCCTCGCCAAGATGATCCTAATCCTCTCCCTTGTGACTGCGAAGACGGCGGCTGCCATGGCCTAAACCTCGGTTCTGGAAACTCCCTTGCAGTTACCACACTTGGACATAACCTGGCAATGTGACCACTACCACCACATTTAAAACATGTCAATGGAACTTTATCACAACGAGTACCTGGGTGGCTTGTTCCACAACGCCGACAAACAGCCCCCGATTGCTGAGACCTCTCCTGACTCGGTTCATTAATCGAAATCCCCTTATACGATGGCCCAGACCTGAACATTTGCCACCATTTCTTTTTACCCTTGGGCTCATCCTCCACTTTAGCTTTTCCCTTATCTCGAACCTGATGTTGATAACCTATTTCCTTCTCACTCTCCTTTTGTCTGACTTCCTGCTTCTGATAAAATCGGGCAGCACGCTCGTAAGCCTCATACAATGAACTGATATCCAACACCGCTAAAGCTTCTTGAATTCTGTGTTGCAACCCGTCTACAAAATGGTCAATTCTGTCTCGCTCACAGGAAAAGTAGTCAGGAACATACATCTCCAACTCATTAAACTTCACAAAATAATCCTCAACTGACATCGAGCCCTGCTTTAAGTCCAGCAATTCTTGCTTCTTCGCTTTTCGAATATGCGACGGTATAAACCTAGCCTTTAACTTTGCTTTAAATTCATCCCAAGTCATATCCACTTGGTCTACACCTGCAGCTTCTTCACCTAACCACCACCGATTTGCTCGGCCTTCCAAGAAATAGGCTCCAATATTAACTCGTTGATCTGGCGGAACCTGAACAACACGAAATATCTTTTCCATCTTTTCAACCCAAAACTCAAGGACTCCTGGCTCCACTGAACCAGAATATGTTGGTGGGTTATGCCGCATCACAGCATCAATGAAACTCCTCTGTTGAGGCATCA